CTCAGTTCCATCTGTTAGAAAGCTCATTGTGCATGTGCTACAGTCAAAGTGGATTGCAACTCCACCACTGCCCTGCTCTTGGATCCGACCCTGGACTTCCCTTTTGAATACAATTATCCAACTAGTTATAGCCAACCATCCACCTTTACAGTAGCTTGTTTATGAGAATGTGTGGCAAATTGGGGCTCCCAGACTAGCCACAGTGCTAGATTCCCCAACTGTCTTTGGGCACACTACCTACCTGTCTCACCTGCTATGCCTTGTTGGTAATTAAGACGGGAGGCTGCCCATTCTTGCCCCAATGCCAGGGGCACTATCTGCGACTCCGTTCCTCCCCTACACCACAACTCAAGCTTTGCAGATGACATCCAGATGACAATGCTCCCCGCCTACAGCCAGACCTAGCTTAGTCCTCGTTGTCAGGCAACAGACACATGCACATTCATACCGCCCTCCTCTCACTAGGGCCTCACACACTCCACCCCCTCTCACAGGGTCTATTTCACGCATTGACAATTTATACTGCCTTGTTCCCTCTTGGAGCGGGCCCCTTAAGCCATAGGCTTTAGCTAGCTTATACCTTGGGTGGCAGATGCACCGTCTTTTGGGTCTCTCTTGCAACCTTCACTGGGGTAGTTGCCAGCCAATTACCTGACCGGGTCTGAGTTTGCCCTGGCTCCTCATCTCCACCCCCTCACTGGGGCCACCACCTCACTGGGGCTCCTCATCTCTGCCCCCCCATCACTGGGGCTCCACACCGCCCCCTCACTGGGGCCACGGGGCTTCCCTCCCCAGTGGGCTCAGGTGGCCGTAGCCATGCCTGGCCCCAATTACCTCTCCTTGGGGTCTTGCACCTCACAAGGCTCAGGTGGCTGCAGCCATGCCAGGCCCCAGTACCTCCAATGGTGTGTGACCTACCTGAAGGTGGGGGCTGGTGTTAAGGTGCCCTGACCCACCTTTCACCATGGTGGTAACTGGCCTGGTATTTCCTGGGGGCTCCCGTGCCACAGAGTCCCACCAGGCCACCCACTCCCAGCAGGGTGCAGTTTTAGGTCATGCCCAGGACCAGGAGCTTCCAAGACATCCCCTACAGCTCTTGTCTTTACCTCCAAGATGTTGCATGCAGCCTTGGGATTCTCTTGCCTGCCAGCAGTTAATTGATCTATTTATATAGATGGCCAGAGGTCGAAAATGGCCACCGCAATCAAGCACCTGTTGGGTGCTTGGCTCTGCTCTTAAAGTGGCAGGCACCAATAGTGCCCTGCCGCAGAATGTTATAGGCCACAGTATCAAAAGCCTTCCTAAAGCTTAGGTATATCTTATCATCTGTAAAATTGAAAAAAACCTCATACTGTTTTGGGTTTAAAAAAAATAAAAATACAAATCACATAGCTTTTTGTGATATGGGTATGGAAGTGAAGGCCAACTATTCTTTTGTAGATGGGAATGGATCACTTCCCTCCTAGCCACAAGGCCTCCCATCCATTTGTTGTAGAACCAAATTAAGATTGGTTAGCCATGATTTACTTCAAACAAATCCATGCTAGTTTATCCTTATTGACTTGTTATGCTCTAGATCAGGAGTTGTTAACCGGGGGTACGCATACTCCCAGGGGTACTTGGCAAGGCCCTAGGTGGTATGTGTGGGTGGGCCAGGCTAGAGTGCTGCCATCCACCACCCCGTGCTTCCACCTCCACGAGCAGGGCTGAGCGGGTGGTGGGAGGGCAAGGGCAGTGGCTCACCTCTACGGGCTGCAAAGGCACCACCTGGCTGGATGGACGCAGAGAGGGGAGTTCACATGCAGCGGCCGCTGCCACCACCCCGCACTGCCGCCACTCCACATCTGGTCGTGTGCCACCCCTGCCCTCTCTCCGCTTTGCCTCCAGCTTCTGAGGTTACATTTATTAAAAAAGGTTGAAAACCCCTACTCTAGATGCTTACAAATCAGTTGTTTGAAATCCTCCAGTATTTTTTCTCAGTATTAAAGTTAGACTGATGTGCCTGTAATTCCCTGGTCCCCCCCTGCCCCCCTTTAAAAGTGGGCACCATATTAGCTCTTTTCTAATCCTCTGGGATCTCCCTTAATTTCCATGCATTTCTTCAGTCAACTTCTAAGTACACTATGAGAAGCCCTGATGACTTCAGAACATTTAGTGTATTTCTAATTCCTATTTTGTTCCTTCCCTATTCTGATCTGAGCACCTGTCCTTAATGTGTACTGTGTTCATCATCTGAACGGTTACCCCCACTTCACTCTTTTTACCCCCATGTGAAGACTGAAGTGAAAAAGGCTTTAAACACCTCCTTGTCTGGTTCATCTGTTATAAATTGCCCCTCCCAACATGGTAAAGGACCTATGCTTTCCTTGGCCTTTTACTTCTAACATATTCAAAAAAACTTATTTTGTTACCTTTCAGACTTTGTCCCTATATGCTCTTACTATCTTTTTATACAGTACTTGTCCTTAATAATAAAATAAAATTCTATATTTGGACTTCTATTTTCAGACTTTTGGACAAGGAAAGGAAATATTTTATTCAATATGTTAAGCCAAATTATGTACACAGCATCTCAAACACAATATTAAGCTATGTTGGCTTTGTGATGAAGACAATTTAATATCTTTTTCTTTACATAAATAACTTAGTCCAGTGGCACTTCAAAACAGTAAAACTCAAAAAATGACCAGATAGTGCACAACATCCAAATACATAATAGGAGATAAAATTGGGTAAAATTTAGCTACAGTAACTGGAAACTAGTAATGTTAATTTTCTGCCAAGAGGGAAACATTTTGTAAACTATGCCTACTGAGACATCCTTCAAATCTTTATCATCCCAAATCCTTGAATAGTAGTTGTTATAAATTGTAAAAGCATAAGTACTATTTTGGATAAGTGATATCACAAAAATTCTATATGGAGACTGAATGTAGGCCAACCATACTCTTCTATTTTCATGACTGTAGATGAAATTTGAAACTGAATATAGTATGTTTTGAGACAAAAACATTTTAGTGCACTGTCCTGATGAACGCTCTAATCCCCCACCTATATTCTAGAGATCTCTGGATTTTCTGTGCTAGCTTAATGCCTAGGGAGAAATTCATTTCCAACAGTGTGATCAAATGTAAAACTATTTCCTATTATATTTGTTTCAGGGTCAAGAAAAACTGGATAAATTGCCAGCTATTGCTATAAACCAGACTTTGTATTTATTTTATATGTGTATACCTATCTATGTGTGTGTGTGTGTGTGTGTGTACATATTTTACACAAATACATACAAGTATAATATACAAAAAAGAAAAAGTGTAATATCAGTAATTTATCTAGGTAGTGAAATGGGCAATAGCTCTGTAGAAATTTTAAAACAAATCTAATTTGATGGTATAACAGGATGGCATCTGAGGGCAGCCATGATGCCCCCCTAGTGACCGCGTCAATACTGCCTAGCTCTTACTTCAGCTTCTCAGGGTCTCACCCTGCTTCCTTACCTGCCAGAGCTTGGTGTTAAAGGTAGTGAGGGGAGGCTGCCTTCAGAAGTTGGTGAGCCCAGGTGTTCTCTCTCTGTGCTTGGTTTTTCTCTTGTATCCAACTTGGTCCATCTGCCTTGGGGCTTAGACCCCTGCACACACAGTCCCTCTCTCTCTCTCTTTCAGTCTCTCCCTGGCCTGGGGCTCCTTGGGCTCTACTTGCCTTAAGGGTTGAATAATTGTCTCCTTCTGCTCCTACATCCATACCCATGCCTCTCGGATGATACTCCATTCATATTTCTGTCCTTTTATATAGGCTTCAGTCCTCTTCGTTTTAGTCCCCCCTTTACTCTGGTTGTAGATTTATAGCCTTGGCCCACTGATTCAGACCCAGGTCTCTCAGCCTTAGCTCTCTCCATGTCTCTAGGCCCCTTGGCCCTGTCTTGCACCTTGTCCCAGTGCCCCTAGTAGGCTGACCCAGGGAAGGCTGCTTGTAGTTCAGCTCAGCCCCCTGGCATCCCTGACCCAGGGCAAAACTGCTCTTGGATCTACATCCCTCTGAAGTGTTTGGGCTTCCACCCTACGCAGCCCACCAGGTCCTTGACCCTTGAAGGGCTCTAGGCTGTGTCCCTGCACCACCTGTGTGGCCTCCAATCCACCTCCTATCAGCCGCGTTCACTCCTCCAGTATAAACTAGACCAAAAAATACAAGCAGCCGCAAACTCTAAGTCTCCACCTTTGTGTCATCAAATTGCTACCCAGCCACCTCCCCACTCTCTGGCTCTCTCCATCCAGAGAGTACCTGCCATTCACACTTCTTACCAGCCTGAGCTGGTAGGAGATCCTTTCCCTTCCAAGTTCAAGGTTGCAATGCTAGTCTGCCTCAGGAGCCCAGGCTTATATTCCTTGGCTCCTCCCCTTCCACTCAGATGCTTCCCTCAGGTGCGCCTCCTCAGTCTCCAGGGCAGCATATTGCTATTCCTCTGGCTACCGTAGCAGAGTTCTCACTGCCTAACCAGGGTGTTGTCCTATCATCCTATTGCCAGGCAGCTAGCCACACAATAGGCACGTGTAGCCTTTTGGCCCTGGCTTCCTGTTCCCCTGCAGCTAGCCTAAAATTGACTGTTGTACCCCACCTGGGGACATCCCTGCTGCTGCTTCTCTGTGCAAGCAACAGGAACCCCTGGCTCCCTGTTACAGACAGCAGAGTCATGGACTATATTTTCTAGAGTTTATTTTTGAAGAAGATTAGCATGTCAAGGATGATTCCAGGTTGCTTTAGAGTGAAAACATTATTGAAGACAATTAAAGGCAGAGTTTTGACAGCTCACTCTCATTTGTGCTATTTAGTAGTTTTTAGAAGATTATAGGCAGAAATCTAGGAACACCACATTGATGGCCACGCAAGAATGAAAGCTGCATTGATGATGGGAGACAGGACTGCCAGACTTGCTCTATGACTCATATTCATGAAAAAATACTGAGTGAATAGAGATGACATTTTTTTTTTTATTCCCCACACAGTGTGCTGGAGAAGAGAATTGGGTGGACAATCGGACTATTTATGTTGGGCACCGCGAACCCCCTCCAGGCGCTGAAGCATATATTCCACAGAGATATCCAGATAACAGAATAGTTTCATCAAAGGTAGTAGTTATTCTTTTAATGCATTTATATAAATCATTTCACTGTCTGCTTATTTTGCTGTTCTTGTTTCCTGAAGATTTCTTTCTGTTTACTGGGGCATCTGTTGATGAAGGTAAAATGAAAGAGGCTACAAGTTTCTTCCACCAAAACTAATCATCAAATTACCTCTGGCTTGAACAGGACTAACATGACTCATTCCATGTCAATATTAGTGAGGTATACTGACCTGCTAGGGTGACTCTACATGATTCATCACAAATGTGAGCTTTTTTTTCTTAAAAAAGATGATGATGAAAGTGTGGCATTGGGATTGATGAGATGTGAAAAATGGAGGAATGCATTCTCATTACCACTTACGGAACATACAAAAAGAAAAGTAATATGAAAATGATGTGAGAACTTCACTAAATCCTAAGATTACAAATTTTAACTGGTAATTAATTTCTCTCTCCAGTGTTCTTGGAAGTCCAAACCTACTTAGAGCAGCTAGGGCTACATCATAAAACAACCTTTCTTTACTTTATCTTCTGTTTAGTGCAGACATTCAGGTAGATTTAATTGGATGGGGATTTTGGAGCTAGGAGAGATGAGAACATTCTGGGGAAGCTTTTGGAGAAGAGAGGATCAAGGAGGTACTGGGGGCATTCTGGTCTCTTTACGTTCTTGTATTATGTCTACACCATATTAAATGAGAACATTCCATCTGTACATTAATCATGCTAGGCATCTGTTCAATTACTATTTTTATTTGTAGGCCACCAATCTTTTTGAAGTAGGAGCACTAAACAACCACCTATCACGAATAGTGATTGAAAGAACAAAGCTGAATTCTCAGTTTCAGAAGTAGAGAAGTCAGTTTGGCATAAATCACACCGCTACAAATTTCACACGAACTACTCAAATATGACCAACATATAGCCTAAGTATTGGCTTTTATATTTAACATTCCCTACCAAATGAACACCAAATTCTGTGTTGCTGTCTTTCTCAGCAAGTAAAACAGTTGAAATAAGCACCCAATACTATTTCCAGGTTTTTGCTGCCCTAGAAACAAATTAGACTTTCTTGGACTGGAGGTGACAATGGTCCTCTTTAACCTCCCCTTGAAGAATTGTTTGTGTAAGAATGAAAGAATCTAGCAGCTGCCTCATGAAGGGAGAAAAAACAAGGTCAGGTGAATGTCAGGCAGTGGTCAATAGTGAAAGTGCAGCTCCATGAAAGAGAGTTATTCATGGGAAAGAACATGCCTGGAAGGATCTAAATGATGCTATTAGCATCATTCCAGATCTGTGAACAGAGGTTGTTGGTCATGCAGTTCGAGTAAATGCAGATGCAAAATTGTTATATTTGGAGGTAACTGTAGGTTCTCACGCTTAAAACTTTTTTGTGGACCACTCAGTAAACATTTTATTCTTTCAATTGTGATGGCGAAGTTAGTCCCGACTGAACAGAACCCTTCATCCTTTGTGCATCTAAGTGTACAGTGGCTAAACGAAGCTCAAGCATGCTTCTGCCTCTGACCGTAACTAAGTTAAACGGTAAACAGACATCTCATTTGAAGCGGTCTTGATTCGATTTAAGTCAGAACCGGGAACAAAGAGTGGCACAGCCCTCTGCATGCATAGGGTCCTTCTAAGCGTTATTATTTATGTAGGTGGTCAGGGAGAGCACATCACCTGACAGGCTTGTCCCTGGAATGATTGGCAAGTAAATGGAATGAGCCACAATTAACATAAAAGCAGCATTGGCCTAAAAGAAGTGTTAGCTCATTTTATCTTAGTATTTCACAGGTAGTTAAGGGAGAAAATAGACTTCTGCAGGACAGAAGGCTTTCCTTTGGAGAAATGAGTTATCTTTTTACGTGCTTACATATCAGAAAGTCATAATGTAGGATAGTGGAAGAGAACTCTTGTATTGCCAGTATTTGCAGTGTATTTGGTACATGTGGAAATAATCTTGCAGTATTTTCCTGAGACGGGGCTAACCCACTGACCACTCCATTCTCTGTATATTTCAAAAGTCATTCTCTAGAGAATTATGGCTTTTGGATTTCTTCGGTTCTTCCTGTGGCCCACGTGTGTTGCCTTGGGAATGCTCCAGTCTGCTGACCCACAGATCTGTGTCTAAATACAGTTCCCTAGTATCACAGCAGCACAATATGCAATCAAAAGCCTACAAGCTTCATCTCTATAATTCACTTGGTTCTCTTAAATTTCTTAAGCGCACATCTTCAGATCCAGCATTAAATAATCAGTTGAGTAACCACTGGTGGATGAGAGTTTTCGTATTGAAAGTGTGCCTTAAATAAAAGTAATAGCAAACTATAATACAAAGTTTTTCTGCAGCATCTCGGAGTGTTCTCTGGTTCCTAGACTTTGAAGGCCAGATGTATTTTTATTTTGCCTTGCTCACAAACTTCATCTACAGACCATCTGAAATGAGCTACATGTTATCCTTGTATTTGCAATCTGACATATTCAGGTGTTAATGAGGTGGATAACAGCTGAAATACAGCTAAAGTGATGCAACATGAGTGAAATCCTATGTTTTAACATCTCGTTTTCTGGAAATTGCTCTTTGGAAAATTAAACAACGTACATATTTGTGCAATTTTCTACACTCCGTTAGGGTACCTCTGTTCCCTTTTTCCCCGCACCCCTAGCATATTTCAAGGGAATTTATAAAAGCAAAGCATGAGTTAAATCCTGCTGACATTTTTCCAAATAAAAGAATCAAACTTTGTTTATTCCCTTTTTTTTCTACTCATTTTATATATATGGGGCTTAATTCTTTTTTTGGCCTCCCATCTTCTGCGAATTTTCACACCTTTGGCAAGTTTAATATTGACAGTAGTGTACAAGTGATGTTGTAGCCATGATGGTCCATTAATTATGCGAGAGTTAAGGATTTTTTAGGGTGATATCTTTTATTGGACCAACTATGTAGTTAGGATAAAGTTAGACAAGCTTTGTGACGTAAGACATTCTTCGTCAGGTCTCTCTAATATTGACAACTTTTCCACTATGTAAGTGTTATGTCTTTGTTGGAAGAGTTTCATGATACCTTGTATTTTCTTTTTGTTTAAATGGTCTTTAGTAGGTAAATTGATTAGATGAGCTGTGAAATGAATGCTGTGTCTTAAAGAACTTGATCTTATTCTATCCTCATATTAAAAACACTATTAATTTTGTAGGGGGGGTGTAGGGGGTTGTTGTTTAGGTTTTGGGGTTTTTTCTAAATTGTACACTAGAATGTTACAAAAATGCAATATATTCATACTAGAAAACAATTTTATTGTCCTAAAGAAAACATAGTCAACTCAGGTGAGTTACTAGAGAATAAAATTAATTTGTCTAGACATTAAAATACATGTGGTTTTTCCTCCTGCACAATTTCCTTCTAGTATGAACATTTTTCTCCAAAAGCAGATAGATTAATTTAAAGTAGCAGATACTGCATATGTTAAACATGTGGAATTCTGATTTGTTCAGACTCTAGTGAAACTATTTGCTAATGCCTTTTTGTTCAAAAGGTTAAGGGATATCTTCTTCGGTTAATAAATTATGCATTTTTCAGTTGTCAGCATCTATCTATATTGTTATTTTTATAGTGGGGCAAACTGTTTATTGATAACCACCTCTTAAATTTGCCATTTAGCTGCTTTTTCAAGTTGCAATGAATAAATCTTTTGGCAATTTGACCAACAGAGATATTTTAAGATGATTAAACATTCACATAAATGGATTAAATGTGTCATACCATTTTAAAGATGCCATTAGTGACAGTTGTCTTTATCTTATTTAAAAGATGATCCACTTTGCACAATTAAGATGGAAAAACCATTTTTGTTAAATTAAAAAAAAATCTGTAGACTGTTTCAAGCATGAAGGATATTTCCCAACCTTTTCTTTGGTGAGATGGATAATAACTCTCAGCTGTGGACTTATGGGTTTATAGGTCTTTCATGCTTATGTAAGAAGAAAGATTGCTCTTCACGGATGAGATACTCTAATCATCTCTTAAGTACATGATTTTATCAATTTAAGACATATCAAACTTGTTCAAAAGTTTTGGGGGGTTTCAAACCATGAAGAAACCCTATCAATTAATTAAATAGTCTTTACACTGTTTTACTTACAAAGATACTCTGTCTTATTACTTAGAAATAAAGTGCTGATAAAATATGGCTGCTTGAAATAACTGTCTATAATGAAGAAAAATCTGAGGACCTATTTTTGCCCTACAGGTGCACTTCCATTACTTTGGTTGAGGCTTCATGGTGATCCTGAAAGCAGAATTTGGCCCCAGTACAGAAAGATTCTTTCTGTAGTATCACAGTGCCACAATAGAATTTGACTGAAATATCATATAATCTGTTATTTATGTTCCAGATAATGAAAAATGGTTTGTAGGCAGAAATTGGCCACACCAAACACACAATAATGTGGCATATTAATTTAAGTATTGTTATGATTGTGACAATGTATTACGAGATAGCTGTGTTACGATATAGAAGGTGAGAATAAGTGATTTTTTTCTTGTGTCTATAGTTTATATGTAGGCTGATAAATATTTTATTGTGATTTCTTATATTGATTTAATTATGCACTAGTTCATCTCTGAGGAGCAGTTGTTGGTTTCTCTTAAGGCAGCAGTTGGCTGGTTGTTCGAATTTACCATATAACAATTAGCTGGTAGAAAAACTCTAAAAATTTCCGGTAAAATACTTCAATTGAATATTGACTTCTTGACAAATTCATCAAATTTGGGAAATGTTTCTTATTTAGGTAATAGAATTATCTTCTTTTTCTGGCTGCGTAAGAACCAAACTGCAAAACTGTATTTAAATATAGAGGTAAAAATTGTTCCATCTAAAACCTATGGTGAGAACTTGCAAAGTTATGTACAGAAGTGCTATGAAATTAAGGAAGACTATACTACCTTAAGTTTATTCCCTTGTGTACATACATTATGACAAAACCTGTCAACACATTATGAAA